GTACTCGGTTAGAAGGAAATTACCTTCCAAACCGCCACCTCACCCAGACGGTCCCTCACATGTCGAAGAATCGGCGCGACTGGGTGTCGACAAACGTCCAGGGATTGGTGACAAAAAACCCCTTACCTTCGAATTGACAAATGACTGTCATACCTACCTGTCCTGTGACTTTGACCCATGAGTGAGGTCAAAAACCGCCCAGGGGAGGAGGTAGTCCCCGTATTCTCTCCGTTTAGATAAGTAGGGTTATCCTCATCCAAAGGAAAGTTGTCTCTAAGTCCGGGGACAACGATTTTGTGTCTGCACAGAAACAGACACGTGAGAGTACCAATGAGGGCACGAGATAAGTTTGTGCACAGATGGAAGGCTGACAGGCAGGTAGGCCATCCAGTTATTTTAGCCGGCCGGCTAAAATGATTGGTCGTGCTTTTTACAGTGCTACGGCCTCCACAGATTAAAAATGTTTATGTATTTATTGTCAAAGCATTTAATATATTAATTGCTATCGGGATGTTAAGAGCATTCCATGAAATATAACAAAAAGTGTTTCTGAAATAAATGACATACCCCACCTTTAAGTAAAAGTAGCAATACTACATTTAAAAGTACTTTGTTAAAAGTAAAAGTCCTGCATTCAAAATTGTACTCACATGTAAGTAAAAGTACAAATGTATCGGCATCAAAATAAAATTAAAGTACCAAAAAGAAAACTACTCATTATGCGTAATGTCCAATTTCAGAATTGTACATTTATTGAGTTACTGGGTTACCATTATTAATATTGATGTTTATCCCAACTGGTAAATGTAGAGCTAATTTGAATAACTTGATATACGACTGCTGGATATCTTAACCTATAAATATGTATACGTTTATTTAATAATTGATTTATATTCTGAATTAGCTAATATTCTAAACTTAAAAAGTAACTAGTACCAAAAGCTGTCAAATAAATGTAGTGGAGTAAAAAGTACATTATGTACTTTATTACTATCCACCACTTATTTTAGCACAAGTCTTCCACAATGCAACAGTTTAACCAGAAAGTCAACTGTATTTGACACAACGTTTCAAACATGAGGAGAAGGGTGCATGACACTGACTGAGCAATGCTTCAGCAGCATTTATGAAAATTATGCTATATCCTTCCTTTTTTTACCCCGACACTCTGTTAACCTATTTTGTTTGTTGTTGTTGTTGTTGTTGTTGTTGTATTTAAGACATAAAACCATAAACAGAATATTAACGTTAGTAACTTTTATCATTTCTACCATACATCAATCGCAACATTGTGTGATTGTCTCTGTGATGTTGACATGAAGAATCACACTTTAGCTGGTTGACTCAGTTTCACTGGGACAATGAGGAACTCAAACCGAAATTAGTTTTCCTTTTTTACTTCTTTTCCAGCTGTGAGACTTAAATCATGTGAGAATAATTTCCCGTGTGAATCATATATATATTTTTGAGTTAAATGTAGGCTACTTACACTTTAAAGTATCGATCATTTCCCAACAGGAAGTGCCGACGCAACCGCAGCAGTCCACTGATGATGATGATGCGGATGATGATGCAGTTTAACTACAGTCCCTCTGACAAGACTGGACAAGATTCGCATTTTACTATGATGACGTCTCAACCCGACACGAGCTCAACCTACTATGGAGTTCACCGGTTCACCTGCGTCACAAAAAACAATAACCTACCAAAAATCTTACTTCCTGTCTGACTGCTTTCAAAATAAAAGACACAAACTTAAGTGGATATGCAACAAAAGTCCCAACTAATGTGTCATAACTTAATGTAACCGGTGTGGTTAAGCGGTCTCTGCGTTGTGTTGATAATGGACGAGACCCGAGCCAGCGTAAAGTTGAGACAATCTCTGTTTAATGACTGACAACAGATAATACGATCAGTTTTACATCAATTCCTCACAATGACTCCTCTCACATAGAACATTTTACGAAAAGGCAGAGGAAACGTGAGGGACACAATATATAGGGGGGAAAGTCCTCACAACAAAAAACTCCTGAGCACAGCGACCACACTTCAGAGGTTCCGCCCACTGATCTCCGACCTTGCCAGGTATTTAACATTCAATAAAATGAAGAACACAGAATAAAATAATATAAAACACAGAATTTGTGTGATCATACCAAATTAAATTAAATAAACCCCACTGCATATCTACATCTGTTACATTAAGATAAGCACCCTTACACATTGAAAAAACATGTGTGAGAGCATGTGTTTCATTAGCACACGTATTGTGTATGTTCATTAAAGGAGCAGTGTCTAAGATTTAGGGGATCTATTCGCAGACATTATTGTTAAATAGAAAACATTTAAGTAAAGTGTAACTTTGTTTTCATTGTTGTATAATTGCCAGAACATTTTGTTGGGTTTTCTTAACATAGAATGACCATGTTATAACTACAGTACATAGGAAGTCAGTGAAGTTTGCAATGATGCACCGCCATGTTTCTACGGTAGGCAGTTACTGACAAGCCAAACTTTGGTTTTAGAGAGGGCATTTGTTATGGTACCTGAAGGCCGCTATAGGTTCAGACAACTTAAGAGAAGGGTGAGCAGAGGTATTCACTTAGTTGCAATCTGCAATTCCACCACTGGATGTTACTACATTTCACAAAATTGTGCTTTTTAAAAAAGTGTTTCATGTTTTATGGACATTTGGAATTAGTAAAAATGTATTGTAATATTCTAAGGGTTGGTTGAATCTTTATTTTCTATGGTTGGGTAAAAAAAAATAAAAGCGCTGTTCCAACACATTTTACATTAATGAAATTACACAAGTAAAAATTAAGTTTACTCAGAATTGCTTAATGTCCACGAATATTGAGACTGGAATAGGTGACTGTGTTCGCATCATGAACTTTTTCCTCCAACGTCAAAGTAGATGGACAATGTTACCCTGATGTCCTTTTTTTATGTTAAAGATTTCCATCCATATTATCAGTCCAAATAAAGGTTTGCTTTTGTTTCTACAGCACCTGTTTTTGTTATGTTCAGTCGTGTTTTTAATTTGTGGCATTATGGACAAAGCATCATCCGCATTATGTTGCGTAACCCTGTGTATATTGACAATTACTTCTTCTTCAATGCTGCAAATAATTCAATCAAAGCCGTCAAACCCCTGTGATGAGAGCTCTACATAAAAGTGTTTATTCATGGTTAGTCCTGCTTCACTGTACAGCCTGTTTGGCATTCTTGTGGTTCTGTCATGTGATGACTGTAGCTGATATGGATTTAAAAATAGACTAACATTAAGTCAGCAGAGTCCTGTGGGTGGCAGACTACCTTCAATGCCACCCATCCGTCCACTTAGGAGGAGCAGCAGTTTTTTCCCTCAATGTCAACCCCTGACAGCTGAGATCACAGCCAGCCCCTTGTGATCCAAGAGGGGTGCCAGCCCCTTTGCTTCAGACTGCTTATGTAAGAGAGGGATGGGCAGCATTCACCTCTCTGAGTCGTGTCTTTGTCAAGTGCTTCTCCTAAAGAAGATCCACTTGTGTAATTTGCCTTATTTTTAGCTGAAAACAGCTGCTAATATGCAGTATTCACGTCTTTTTGTGTTGTTAGACATATTATCTACATGTTGACCTGGTACAGTGTAACGTCAAGTCAAAGCGTGGATTTTAACAGTTTGGAAACACTTAACAATCCAGTGTACATATGGTTTAATTTTTGTAATGACTCAAATGCAAATAAATTAAGCTTTTATACTCAGGGCTCAAAGATACCTATATCATAAGTTACAATTTGATGACAGCAAGCAGTAACCACACAGCCATTAGACGATCAATGAATAATAAATGAAAATATAAAGATTGCATTAAGATATTTAAAAACCCAAGGCAGTAGGGACATGTGAGCTCATAAGGGAGTAGGTCCTGAATCTTGGCAGATTGTACCTGCAGCCTTCTTTAAATTCCTAACCTTGTATGTATAAGGAAGGTCAATGTACTTTAATTTCCAGTGTAAGTAACCATACTCGCTGGAACAGGAAGAAAACATTTCTACTAGGTATTGGTGACAAACTTTGAAGCTTGAGATAAAAGTGTATAAGCTGCTGGACTTTTCTACATACAGCATACACATGAGCCATCCTTATTGGCAGATCGATGATTAGAAATTGTCTGTATATAGCATCATATTTAGCCACATGGGACTGATAGCGATTTTCTCACCAAACTCTCAGGAAGACAGCTTTTTTTGCTTTTTTCATTCTTGTGTGGTGCTTTTATGAGCCTCAAATTAAGACTGGAAAACATTTATAAAGATTGTGTTAATAACATATCATAAAGAATATAAAATGGTAATACAAAACGACAGTAAGAGCAAAAGTTAAACAATGTCAAAGAAAATCACATGAACCATTACCCCCAAACTTCGTCTTTGTGAATGTCTGTTGAAATCTATTTTTAACAGCTCTTCATGTTTCCAAGGACATGTGTGATGCTTTTACACTTCCACTGCTCTTCATGAGATGCTAGTGTCCATAACTGTTCATTACATGTTCATATAATCAGATTTATATATATTTATTTATACAGGTTTACTAAACTCATTATAATTAAATAGGTTTTGATTAATTTTTAGCAGTCAGGGTGAGGATTGTTTATATTTGCAGTTATATATCTGTGTTGACCGTATGCCATCAGCCTGCACTAGTTGCTGGTTTGCCCAATGTGTTTGCTCTGACCTTGAACCCCTCTGTCCTTGGACACACACACACACACAGACACAAACACACACACACACTTCAGAGAGCCCCAACACAGGGATCAAGTGCGAACGGATGGTGTTAGAGGAGGGGGGCCCGTAGACAGCAGGGTGTGGTGCGTGTGTTTGTGTGTGTGTGTGTGTGTGTGTGTGTGTGTGTGTGTGTGTGTGTGTGTGTGTGTGTGTGTGTGTGTGTGTGTGTGTGTGTGTGTGTGCGTGCGTGCGTGCGTGCGTGCGTGCGTGTGTGCGTGTGTGCTTGCGTGCGTGCGTGCGTGTCTGGGGGATTTGCCGTGAATGTATTCCAGGCATGCAGCCAGGAACTGTCATCTGCCAGTGCAACACTATCCATCCTGTCAATCTTGTTTTATAATTGTAACATTCTCATATTCTCCGGCTGAGCAGAGCGATGTTTCCAAAATAGTGAGACAAACACGCACTCACACACGCACATACACACACAGAAGCGCACATTTTTCTAGGAGCATCTTTATACATTAGAAATCAAATAAGGTGCATATTGAAAAAGCTAACAATTTGTTAAACGAATTAACTAACTGTTTCAGTAAAGTAAAACTGATAATTTATTTTATTTTAGGCAAAGATTAAAGGTAGGGTAGGTAAGAATGGAGAAACCAGCTCGAGTGTGCTTGAATTTGAAAATACACAACCGGAAAAAATCTGCCTTTTCCTTCAGACTTCCTTACAGAGCCCCTCCTCCAACATACACGAACGCACACATGACCAATGAGGGCACGAGATAAGTTTGTGCAGATTTGGAGAAACCAACACAAGTGTGTTACATTTTGACAGTATCCAAAGGAAAAATATCCCAGGCCCTCCCTTTAGCCCTATCTCCAAAACCACTCCCCCAAAATACAAGGACAAGTCGTCAAGATAGCTTTAGGGGGAACGTTGTCATCGCGAACCATATCCAACTACCTCATGTCTCATTATGAGCAATAAGATATCATTAAGGAACAGAAACAGCGAAGATGGCTATTGAACAATCAGAATCAGTGGAGGCTGGAAGGTCATTTGCCGACTTGTTTGTTGTTGTACTGTGTTTAGTAACAGAATTTCAACAAAAATGCTTCTTAAAAGTTTGGCTACCCTACCTTCACCTAAGGACAAATCATCTATCATCCACTTAATGTCCAGTGAACAAATCGTTTTTCACTCTCTAACTGAATGATAATCAACCTGCCTCACCTTACTTTAGAATGTAATCCTGCAGAGTAACGATATTAAGACAGTGATGTGGTGCAGAGATCACAGAGATCCCATGAGAAATGACGTCTGCGAATTAATTTATCACCGGACTCCTTTAGTGAAAGAGGCAAGATCCGATTACAGAGGTTTCTAGGTGCTCAACAATGGCCTGCTATAAATACACTCACAGAGGGTTTTCCACAAGCGACAGCACACCCACACAAATACAAGAACTGTTGCACAATATACAGGACGTGTACAAATGAATGTGTATTTACATGTACATGGAAGACCATGTGGTCATTGCTGAAAAAGGTAATCTTGCCGACTTCTTATGGGCTTTATTTTTGTCTTTTTCTGAAGCATTGTTAAGGAGTCAGCATTGTGTTTGAAAGTTCTGGAAAAAGCTAAAAAATCTGCTGAATGTTATGTGTAGCTACATCTAAGTCCTAGTGCAAATAAACTTACTGGAGAGGAAGAACAGTGGAGAGGGAAACAGAAGCCTCCACGGAGCGCTCAGCGGCTTCACAAAGTTATTTACAGCTCAATCCATCAATAAACGACAGGTGCAGCATCCTCACAAACAAACCTATTAGCTTTCCACCCGCTGGAACAATATCCTCTCCAGCAATCAGCTGCTCACACACACACGGGCACATACACACACACACACACACACACACACACACACACACACACACACACACACACACACACACACACACACACACACACACACACACACACACACACACACACACAAATAGAGAGACAGACACCAACACAGACAGGCCAATAAGTACAATTTATGACTTCTTTGTTGACTGATGTTTCTTCTATTTCTTCTCACTGTATATTTGTCCTGTCATTGTTCTGGCATCTGCATGGTTAATTTTAATGCATTATTCTAGAATATTTGTTTCCGTGCTAGCAGCAAAGGTCTATAGATAGAAATGTTGGTGTGTCCACTACTTTACATACCACAATATTTGAACAATGTTGGCTGTATTGCCCTTCAATTCTAGTTACAGTATCAGCTGTTCCCAGTCAAAGTGTTTTCCCTTTATTGACATTTCAAAAGTAAATGGATAGGCACCAACTTTGTTGGCAAAAGCTCCCTCTAGGATACCCTTAGAGTGGATAAAGTGAGATCCAGTGCCATACATGTGGCAGCAGGCCAATAAGCCAATCCATCTCACCTGCCATTTTTATTTAAGCTTACCATTGAACCCTACACTCTCCCACAGACCTTGCTCACCAGCACCTTCATATCCCCTGCTGTATCTGCTGTACTTTTCACTTGGATCCACCTGTGGTGCTCTGTAAACAAACCCCCCCTCCAATCTCTGTGTGTGTGTGTGTGTGTGTGTGTGTGTGCGTGTGTGTGTGTGTGTGTGTGTGTGTGTGTGTGTGTGTGTGTGTGTGTGTGTGTGTGTGTGTGTGTGTGTGTGTGTGTGTGTGTGTGTGTGTGTGTGTGTCCCTTAATGTACAATGTATGGGATTTGAAGTCGTCGGGTGTCCCTGTCAAAGTGAAAGAGTTAAAATAGTATGAATGGTATTGTCTGAACTCAGTAGTACTAGTGACCTTCCCCGCCTGCTGCTCTCAATCCAGTTGTGCATGTACAGCAAGTCAGTGCAACCTTTTTAACCCATAGTTGTCTAATGAGCAGCATTTATAGCTGTTGTGAGGGGGTGCTGTTCTATTGTGTATGCATTCACGTTGAAATGTATGTGCCCGTCCAGATGAATTGGGGACTTCTTGAATCTTCCAATAATTTGAATTCCAACCAAATGGCTAAAAAAACAACGACATTGCTATTAGAGTCAGCTCTTTGTGTTTATTGAAGACTATCATCCCAATGCTATGTTGGAGAACAGGTAGTCTAAACACTATAAGCTACCTGCTCAGAAGCATTATGTTGGCCTTATCATCATAGTGATGTTAGCATTTACTTCAAAGCACTTCTTTCCTTAATTACAGTTTCACAGAGCTGTTAGTGCGGCTAAAGACTCTTGGGGTTGTTACTGGTGGATTCAAAGTCAATTTAAGCATAGTTTTACTGTTGTGGTTGCATGTCGGGGCAAATGTTCACTTCTTTGTATACTGTTCATTACTGGTATTGTGGTCAAAGTGTTATTCTACAAAGTTTGCAACTACATGTGTCAAATGATTGTCCTACTGTATGGTAACAAACTAATCAATTTATCCAAAACAAATATAAGACCATTGTCTACTCCAATAAAGTACGTTGAAATATGTATACTTAATGATAATAAAGAAGCAATTGCCAAGAAAAATCCTGCCCATCTTGTTGTGCAGTGAAATAGCAATGTAACATGTTCTCAAACCTTTACCGAATAGCAGGTGGTGCAGAAGCAATGCACAAAACCTCGACCTCAGCAGGTTTGTGCAACAAATCACCATGACAAGTGGGTCAGATATTACATGGCAGAGCATATGTCTCATGGTGTAAGGCTACAGTTTGTCCCTGAATGCAGAGTGTTGCATGTCAGGGCACAGGTCAGATATTAGGGGCCAATAGCTCCAGATGGTAGCTTTCCACTTTTGGAAGAAGATGGTGTCAAGACCATGACTTCAGGGATAAGATATATATTGACATGGGAATGTATTTTGACTTTTGGTTTGAGCAGAGTGAGCTGTCCTGGATACCAAGTCGCACTGAAAGTCAAAGGGGACTGACACCATACATCATTTTGATTTAAAAAAGAAAAGCTCAGATTTGAACCAAGGGTACTCTCTGATCCTCCATTTGAAACTGACTAGTCTGCTGTTCCAATGGCATCTGTCTGGGGCAGCATGCTTGCCATTTTGTAACAAAATGAACACCTCAATGCAAGCTGGCTTTCATAATTGCCTCCTTCTCTTTTCTTCCCTTGTCCCTTTTTTCCAGTCTGTCTGCCAACATCAAAAGCCAAATGACCGGAACGTGGTGTACAGTAGGATCGGGTGTCAAGCGGCTGAATCAAGTCGGAGCTGCAGTCTGCCGTGGCTAAGAGTGGCACAGTGTCGTCTTCCTTTTGGTCAGAGATGTTGCCAACATTAACACCATGTGTGACACAACAAAACGGACAAAGTGAAATGGAAATGAAGGACTACTTTGGTCGGTTTTCATCACATTAACATTATGTAACAATCTGCAGCACAGTGAGTGCTTTTTCCAATAAAGCCCAAGCTCTGTTACCAACTGACTGGAAACTTCACAACTCTTCTTAAAGGATAGGTCTAGTGATACACGTACTTTTCCAACTCTTTCTGACATTAAACACCATAAGAACACCAAACACATAAATTAATTGTTAACACTAAGATGTTTTGCCTATGTGGCCAAATTCTGACGTAGTTAATTTTGCACCAGGCTCTATGAAACTTAAGCACAGTGAGGCATTGAGCAAAGCGCTGATGTCAGCATACTGTCATGCTGACATGTTCACCATCTTAAAACATTTTTTACAAATGTTTACCATGTAACATTATTTTCAAAATGTTCACTATAAATACTCACTAGCGCTACAAATACACATCTGAAAGCACTCCCCATTCACACAAATATACTCCTGTTTGAGCAACTTTTCTAAAAGATACAGTGCCTGTTTAAAATAATAATTACCATGATCAATTCAAACACAATCCTATTGAGAATGGAAACTAGATATATATCTGGAAGACTGTATACTGTAGAAACCATAATGAACGGCAAACAGGAGATCAATGCATCTCCTAACATTTAAACAAAGGCAGTCAGTGTTGTGTTTTCCAAAAATATTTAATATCAAATATTCTCTGTCTTTTAACACATCTGCACCATTTTACCAAAGCCATGGCAATATTTTTCACACACATCCCAAACAAAACACATACAGTAGGAGAAAGAAGTGTTCTTCATATTGTTTGAACACTATTTGAAGTGCTCATAGCTGCTCATCTTCTCATCACATTTCATTGTGATTCCTTAAGATATTTCTTTAGTTCATTCTGATATGGAAACACAAAATAATTCCAACATATAAAATCTGCGTAACTCCAGAATGTGGAAGACAGTCCTTACGAACACGTGTAGGGGTGTCAAACATGAAATGCCTGCTTTTGCATGTGGATGATCAAGCTTTGTATGCCAATAAATCGTATCAAGGATACAGTGCATGAAATTGTGAATACAGGGAGACTCTGAAATGTTCTTTGACTAAATGTGATCTTTAACTGGAAGGCTCTGCTGCAGTTAACACTGCCTCAGGGTCATGTGAACAGGATTCAGTCTTTCTGGATCCTAAGCCACCTGTCATCACTGTATGCACACAGAGTGCACCAGGGCGAAGTGTGCATTGAAGAATTGTATGTTCCAAATGTATTTCAATCCCAAGTCTCAGGCACAATTTTATTTGAATAGAGACATTAAAATAGATTATTTAACATCAATATTAAACAGGGCTTGCGGTATTTGATATTTGGAATGAAAATCAACTTAGTGTCACCTACTATGGTTTAGGAGCGACGCTTTATGAAAGGCACTTTGTTTTTTTCTATTTAGCAAGTTTAAAAAGTTCTCAAAGTATGTTGTTACAGGGAGATGCGGTTCAAAAGGAACTCTGCCAGCATCAGCCTTTACAAGGTGTTGCAAAATGGCAGCATGGAGTTGTGGCAGAACATTTTGTTTATCTTAAGGCAACAAGGTTTGTTAGTGGAAGTATCAAAATAAGAGTAAACTTTGGTCCAAGACCTTTTACAGGAGCACAGTTAGGACTAAAACTATCTTTTGTTATGCAAAGATATTAGTAAAGATATCCATAATAAAAACTGGGACTCTAGAGTTCTGTCAACCTGGCTTTTTCTAGAGAATAATCTAATATATCAGTTTCCTCTACCCATTGAGATCAAAAGCAACTTACAAAATGCTTTTTAGGAGATTAGTGTGTTTTTCTGCTTTTGGGAAAAGCTGAGTATGTAACACTGCATTGCATCGACCCACATATCCATATCTCACTAGCTGCATAGCAAGACAACATTCAAACATTCAGCACAGCAATAAAGTCCTTTTACAAATGCACACAAAAATATATACTTTATAAACTGTGTCCTGATCTGTTAATAACATTTCAGCTCTCTCTGTTTCAGAGAAGAAACTTTATACGATACTCACACAGGTACCAAATTACATTTTGAAATGTAATGTTAGAAAAATAAGGATCTCTTGAACAATGCCAGACATTGTTTGAAGGAGGTTCACCAATACAGTTCAGTGGTAAAACCTCACATTAGGTGCTTTGTGTCGTTTTTACAAACTACTTTGCCTTCTTTTTCAGAATGGCAGAGTATCCATAAAGATTTTCTCCACTATTGGTGGAGGGGGAACCAGGTCCTCGAGTTTCAGGTAGAAGATGCGCTGCAGGCCCTGTGTGCACAGAGTCCTCAGCTCGGGGAGTTTGCCCAGGAGACGAGAAAGATAGTTGGGCTGTGTCCGGCTCGGTTCTGATCCGTTTCCATTCACATGCTCTCTTAGAGAAGTGATGAGATGACTCTGAAAGTCTTCCACCCTCCTGGGCTCTTTGAGGCCATGGCGATCTAAACGAAAAACATGTTCTCATGAGAAACACAGTGCTAACGAGGTGGAAAAAAACATATGCAGTGAGATTCACTTGAATGCAAAGCAAACACAAGCTCTCACCAGTGATGATAACTAACGCTGCAAGGCAGGCAAACAAGGAGACGTCCAAGTTCATTCGGTGAAGGCTCTGGGAGAAATCCATTATGGAGTTAATCCAATCACCAAAAGTGGAAACGCATTGCAGTCGGTGTAGGACCAAACCGTTGCAGAAGATCAGCTTGTTCTTCTCAGGATTAGACCTGCATGGGTTCAAACCAATTGTACAATTAGCCATTATAGCAAGGTGCGCATTAGTCTGGATAAATAAGAGTTAAAGAGGGTATGTTATTAAATGTTATATAAGCTGACCTGTATGCAAGTCGCAGAATGAAGAGCTCAACAAAAGCTGATTCAAGGAGCAGCTCCTGGTCCTCTGTGCAGAAATCTTTGAAACCTGGGATGGTTTCGGCCCAGTTTCTTATTACATCCAAAGAGCCAGTCAGCAGGTCATAAAACTGCTGAATATCAGCAGCATCCTCCTTTTCTTTCAGGTTGTCCACAGTCTCCTGGTACTAAGGAGAGGAGAGAGAAGGTTAATGAAAAAGAACTGCAGATATTCACTGTCATTGCTTTTATTCTACATCCTGTATTGAGGTCATTGATAGTGATCTTTTTGATTGAAATTAACTCTGAACACACCGCCAGTCTTGAGATTTACCTTGGAGTAGTCAAGCTTTCCAATGGTTGGGTTTGAGTCTAAATGAGATCTGACAAGAGAGGCTAAGATGTTGACGCTGGGGGTTGTGGATGAGGCCTCGGACATAGTCTTGGGTTTCGAAGGCAGACGACCTCGACGGCCTTTGAGGCTGTCGGTGCGAACAACTGAGGAAGAGACAGAAAAGAGGAAGCACAAGAACATAAATCTCCAATTTCCACACTTGAACGCTGCAATTGAAAAAATAACTGCTTTATCAATTTCAGTTTCTCTTTTTTCTGCAGCTGGCACTAAAAGTTCCGGGTTTCATATGTGTGTCCTTTTTAACTTTAGTTTCACAAGGCTGTCATTACAAACCCTAGTTTCTCTTCATCATACATTTGTCACTGAAAGCGTGTGCCTGACATTGCATTACCTTCTTTGACCATTCCAACTGTGAGGCATTTCTGGAAACGGCAGAACTGGCAGCGGTTTCTTCTTCTCTTGTCCACAGGACAGTCTTTATTGGCAAGGCACACATACTTTGCGTTTTTCTGTACAGTTCGCTGTGAAATAGGAAAAAAAATAGCATTACTATGGGTTCCAAATGGCGCACACATTTAACAATGTAAATGAAAGAAATTAATACTATCTTTGTATAGGCCACCAATACTGAAGGATAAACCCCAAATCAATATTTGGGAGTTAAAAAAATGCTATAATTTAACACAAAAACTTAATAAAAATAAGGAAAAACTTTTGGATTAGGATCCTTCAAATGTGACTTGTTACTATATATGTACATTGCATTACATTGTAAAGTTAAACAGATAAACTCAATGCTCTGTAATGAAAGAACATTGATTACTTTCACTATTTTTTTATTCTAAACATATCTTTACTACAATTTGTCGATACGTATTAGCAAATAAAAGCTGATGCCAATATATAATAAGCTAATCAGCCAATATGTTGTCCCAGCCTCCTCCTCAGCTATTTACCTTGAAGAAACCTTTGCAGCCCTCACAGGTGCGGACTCCATAGTGCTGACAGGATGCGTTGTCACCACAAACTGCACAGCGGCCCTCACTGGATCCTGGGTTGTGGCATTTAGGAGACATCATGGACCCTTCAACTATCCTGGGACTTTCCATGCATCCATGGTCCAGGGACATGGGGGGACAATGAAGTGGAGACATGTGCTGCTGAGGAGACAGGAAGAAAGGGTCGTCGTGGCCCGGCATGGCATCCTGATGATGCCCCAGGGGAGAGTGCTGCTCTGGAGCGGGGCTGAAGGTAAAAAAGGAGAGATGCTGGGCCATGGCGGTCTTATCAGCCACAGAGGACGGGGGGGCTGAGGGGTAGGGGCTGAAAGGGGAATCCCAGATGGGTGCAGACTGGGCCTGAAAGCCAGATGTGGGAGGGGAAGCTGCGGTATAAACTGGGCTGCCATAGTAGTCAGAGCCACATGACGACAGCGTTTCATCAAGGCAGCTCATCGCAAAGGAACCTGGGTAACAGCCATACACCTGGAGATCATCCAGCTTGAAGGCCTGGCTCTGCATCTGAGGGCAGGAGCTCTCCGCTGAGTGGCTGAAGGAAACTGTAGAGGCCGGTGGAGTGTTGGTAATCCTGCAGGAATAAGCATCAAACTCCCCCACATAGCCATTTCCCACCAAGGTGTTGATGCTGGGCAACGAAGATGTAGACAGCTGGTCCTTTTGGCCACTGATGTCCATCACCAGTTTGGCACTGAGGTCAGGATTCAAGAACTCAGAGCTGAAGTAAGTGTCATGGGGCAGGGAGGCATACTGGGCTTGTACACAGGGCATCTCTAGGACAGAAAACAGCAACAATTAGATTAACATAAACATTTATAGTAAACTGCATGTGTCAATACATCTAAGAAAATTTCATAACATTGCACAAATATCTTTCCATAAATGTTAATGCATTGTAAATGTTTGTCACACAATCATATTGCAAAGTGTGAGTTGTTATGCTTATAGAATAAAATCATTGGGAATAACTAGGGCTGAGTGTTCTGTCCTAACATACAGTAATGTATATACAATGAAGTTAAATAATCTCATTAAATGATTAATTTATAATATTAATCAGCCTTGTTTAATCCTCTCTCTGTGACCTTACAAACAGTAGCCATCATGAACAACTTGACAGTACACGATCTCAATTCCGCAACATGCCATTTTTCTGTCAGCAGGACCTATCACTCCTCTTGAGAAAATGTAGAGTGAGGTCCAGTGGTGTAATAAGATATTGAAAGATGTTATTTGACTGGCTGTTAATGCTCTGAAAACCTCCTTCAGTGGAGGGCAACCCTCTTTCACAGGGACTATACCAGGGAGTGCTGCAGATTGTATTTCAGGGTGGGCTGAGTGCCAGCTGTAATGGGAATGGTGGCAAAGCCTGTGCCTGTGCGTGTGTGTGCGTGCGTGCGTGCGTGTGTGTGTGGTTGGGAGAGTGGGCGTGTATCAACAAGTGCAAGACAAAGTGAAGCAGACCAAACCATTGTTTGAAAGGTTTTCGAACTTATACCTGATTGTTGAATTATTTCCACAAACTTTAAATAAGCTTGACCCATGGGAAGATCATTGGGCCAATGTGTGTTTTGTATATCTTCTCTCGTATAGCAACAGTAATAAAAGCACATTCAACATGCGAACTCATCTTAAGTAATACAAACTAGGCACAGTACAGCTGCAGCTGTGCTATTCTTACCATCAGGAGTTACTAATGACAAAATATTTTGAATTTTAACAACTATTTACCATATAAAAAGAATTGCCATTTCTACTTCAGAGTTGCATTAAGTAAGCTTAATGTTAATTTTAGAGGTTGTAGTTTGTTCTGCTGGCGTAGTGTTATTACTAATATATTAATGTGTACCGCCTCTCTAGAAGAGCCTAACAAAACTCAACATTATAACCATGAAGAAAGGATAAATGCAGTAAGTTGTAAACATTAGTTTTAGCTACAGTAGGTGTACCTAACAAACTTGCAAAAGAGTGCATAGCTCTGACTGCTGTCAGAAAAGTGAGGCTGAGACATTTTAAAACATTAGTTTCCATTAAACTAATTGAGTATAAAGGTGTATTATGTTACACTGTTGTATCAGCAGTCTAGTTAACATTCTCCTATGAGCTTGTATTCATTTGGAAGTATTCTAAAGTCAAACATCAGCATGCAAGTGGTCCCCTGAATAATCAAATATCAATACATGTAAACAAACTCTTTCACTCACCTGGTTCATGTAAATATCCGGATTTTGAAGTTTATCATTTATTCCAAACGAGTAAAACTGATGAATGTCACCTCTGCCAGCTGCTGTCAGAACGCACACTCATTCAAACACACTCTCACACACATACTGGTTCAGACCAATGCAGGAGGATCCATACTGTCTTGTTTTATTTTGACTGCGTCGACATAAGGGCGTGTCCATGACCATACATGGTGAACATGGCAGCGGAACGTTCCGGGTGGCTAGCCAATCAGCGTCGGGATTTACACAGACGTTCTTCCATGTGACGCACGCACGGGATTCCATTGACGCAAGAGACGGGGGAGCGTGTGTTCTAAATATAAACCGACAACGACAGCAGCGCTCACGTGGGGCTATTACTGGATGAAAAATGCTAAAAATAGCCGTAGTTTCAAAGTGCAGACGTTTTTTGACTGGAAATGTAGATGTTATACACGTTTATAAAAGGGAGGTGTGTTGTAACATGACAGAACAGGAAACACCTGGGAGGTATTTTCTCATAAAATAGGATTTGTGTGTTCAATGAATGGCTAGAAACTCCCTACACTCTGCCAATCCTCAACTGAGGAACCACGAGCCCCTTTTTTCACCATCTTTATTGTCAACACTATGGTCTTATATATATATTTATAAGTGTGAAATATTATAGTTTTTATTTCAAAGGACATTCTGAAATAAAGACTGATGAATTTAGGTGCAACTTACTGCAATTAAATCTATGTTTTCTGTTTCTGTTCATATTGTTGGCTACATTTTTCCATAATGATATTATTTGTTTGATATTGAACAATTAATAATCCGTAATAATCTATTTTATAATTTTACATTTAAATTTACTATTAGCCCATCGTTTATGACTAATAGTTTAGATTATAATTGGATCCCCATTAGTTGTGCCATAAAGCACAGTCTTCCTGGCTTCCACATTTTTAAAAAATCATAAAAATGTACAGTCCAATAAAATTAACACATTTGACCAAAAAAATGTAAATAAAGTAAACACAAAACACAAATGACAAAAATAAAACACTGATATTATCCAGTTTCAGCAATTAACAATTAATAGGCCTAACGCTGGACTTATTTGATAAAAATATCCTTTTTTAAGTGGTTGTGGATAAACACTTCATTATGTTGCATACATTTCACGATAGACAGTTATCACAAGAGAAAGACCCTCTTTACATGAGTCTCTCCCATCGAGATTGACTGCATTTCTTTCAACATAATTAATCCTCTGACCACTTTCAGATCTTCAAACTGACCCACATAGAATGCCAATTACACTTTGAATTAAAAAGATGAGAAATCTTAAACCATTTTACAACGTAAAGGAATCAACGGTCAATCTGCACCATTGATGTCACGGCCACAGCTGCAAATGTCCATTTGTCAATATCCATTTAAGCATCACTTAATACCCCTAATTTAGTAGTTTCTCCACGACAACTACCAGGAACACCAGCACTCGAACCCTCAGGGGATCTTTGGGCGTGATCTAGTTTCAATAGTAGTAGTATGAAGAAAGTGATAGGGGTCATTAAGGTGAGAAGCACATGATAGTATTCATCAGAGGAAATAACCTGCAGTTGGAGCAAACCGCTTGTTAGTGGAGTTTATATTTAGGGGTTTGAGGCCTGATTGCGTGGTTCACAGTATGAATATAAAATGTCAGTCTAGACGGGACATTGCAAGGATTAAGGCACTCAAAACTAATGCAGCTCTTCAGTGACTTCAGGTCAAACACATCAGTTCTTAATGAGCTGATCATCTATGAGTTGGGTTCTTGTGTTTTATTATTAAATGTTTTTTTTTCTTTGTTTAAGTCAGTTTTGATCAAATAAATAAACGATAAACAGTACTCCTGTTTCTGTATTCCTTGAAATTAAATGATGTCTCAAACAAACACACACCATCAACACTGAACCTCGTGTTTTCTGTTGGCACTTCTCTCCACCACTTCTGGATTATTCCTCCTGCTTTTCCTCCTACATTGATGCAAATCCTGCCTCACTGTATGCTACCATGCTTGGGCTTTAGGGGGATTTAAGCAACTTAGTTTCGGGATTTTTGAAAAGTAGGCTGCATGCAGAGGAGTTGTGCATACACTTAATACATCAAATTAAAACACAAGTCTGATCGTTTGGAATATAAGCAATGTTATTTAACATACTGTATAACAAATACACATGGAAGTACACATGATACTAGATGTTTTTATTCTTTTCCATTTAGTAGCACATTAAGATAACATTTGGGAAAACTGACATTTTCCCCTAAAAGAGTTTAAGAATTAGATGAAAATGGAGGGTTTTTATCTGCATAATAAATACTGAAGCATCTTTTTGTGTCTCATTTCATTGTTACCAAACCTTTTATAGCTCAATATTCACCTGCAACATACAGAAAGATCTTCACAAGTGTTAAAAGGTCAGAGGATTTACACTGTATTACAAACACAATTGTAGGTGTGTGACGGATTGTAATTAATTAAGAGGACAATGTTATGCTATATAAGCATCCTACTGAAACAGAGTATGCAATATTGTCAAGTCACAGGCAAAGGATGACCACACAATTGAACATGTTACATTTAAGCACACTGAAAATCAAACACAAGACTGAATATCCATAGATACTAGGTTGGTAATATCTCGTTTCATTAGGTCTCAGAAAGTTTCTGTGTATTTTGTGAAAAGCTTAATGCAGATAAATATATTTTTGGCAAAGTTACAGGACAACAACATGTATGAAACTAACATTACTATCCAGGGTACATTGATGTATAACATACAATTGAATGCTGCCTTTTTAAACCAAATGTGGAACATCTTAGAAGAGATGTATCAAACTCCCTCTGGCCTTTGACAGTTATAACTGTCGAGCAAATCTTTATAAAAGTCCTTTCACATTCAATCAAGCTCTTTTTTAAATCAGTTTTTTCGACTATCTAAGAAACAGTAAACACTTTAACATGCTTTTCTTTCAGTCAGAAAGACATGAGAATAGACAGGTAGTAACGTGTTGTTGAATAAAGTGAAGCAGGTTGCACCATTAGGAGGAATAGATGAACCACCAATACACTATTGTAAATACAAAAATGCTATCACAACATTTGATAAACAATGATATTTCTTATCTATACACTCAAGATACACAACATGCCATGTTCTTCTTTTTACAAACACAAAAAAAGGATTGCATTACATTTGGCACACAATAACAGTGGACTGACTTTGATTTTGTCAGTGTTCTCTCTGGCAAGCTGTCTGCACTTATAATTATGCATAATTATATCATGGATTACGTGCAAAAGACACAATACACAATAATACTTAATAGTAGAAACAGAAAGCAAATATATTTTAACCTCCTATTCTGCGTTATTCACAATAATAAAGTTGTTCTGTTGTGACCCTCAGCAGACTGGAGCACAAAGTGTTGGTTCATTTGAGGTGAAAGAAGCCGCTTGGTTTTGTTGGTACAGCCATCAGCATGTTAGCTTGGTTCTTGTGAGTTATGTGGATCTATAATAAAAAATAAATAAATATTGGTGAATCTTGAAATTCCTTTAAAATAATGAATATCACATCAGCTAATAATAATAATAATAATGATTTTTTTTTAATGTCTCAATAACTGTAATACACATTGGATAAAATTGACTTCTAAATTCAAATAATATTAAGTAGCCTTCAAACTCGTTCTCCTTGATAGCCCTAATCAGGGTTAATCTCAGTTTATTTTATCTATGTGTCTCTGCCACAGGTTTGAAAATAACTCAACTAACAAATAATAACAACTTTGTTGTTCATTACGATGCTCTTTAATTACTAGTCTGATATGTAACGTCTCTTGGTACTGAATTGGATTGGTTAATATCACTTACAGTACACGGAGGCTGCATCCACGGCTCCCCATCAATCTGCATGGGCAGGGCTTTGATTGTCCTGCACACAGGGAAGATAGAGAAAGTCAGATTTAAATTTTTACCCGAACCATATGTCAAGCGTTTCTCTGTTTACATTGGATGGCATAGAGAGGGATTACAAATCAGAACATCAGACATTCAAATGGAATCAAAAACAGCAGCCACATACATTCTTGTAATTCTTGTTTCATATTGTCACGTATTCTTGTTATTATTGTTAGCCCCCTGTAGGTAAAAGTGAACTACCTGATAGTGATTTGGGAAGTCTGTGCCAGTCTGTGCCCGGCGCTCTTCATTTTAGTGTAGATCTGTCCCATCTCTATGGCTCCTTCCAGCCCCACCACCTCCATACGCCTATCACTGATATCTGCAGCACACAGAGAAACACACACAGATCAAGTTCAAATTGTTTGTAAAAGATTGAATCAGCATCATAAAACCAGGTTCACGCCATAATGTCAAGATAATATTTAGAAACAATAAATGTGGTGATTTAAGATAGTACAGACCTTGAGAGACTGTTTTAAGAAGTTCAGGGTCAGTGATCACCTCGCTGTGCTCTGCCTCCGGAGCACCGTCACACTTCTTGGACTCGCCCCAGAGGTTGGAGCCTCCGTGCATGCTGGGTATGTTGAGGACAGCTATGCCCTCCAGGGACATACTGCTCAGATCCAGAGACCTCCCACAGCACTGGGGGAGGCAAAACAAGATTATCTCTTATGTGAAGTACAAATACTTCTTTAAAATTAAAATTGCTACATGACTTATAGACATCTCACCTGAATCATAAGACACTCCTTCAGCTTCTTGCAAGTGGCAGAGATGGTTTCAGAAGTGGCAAACTCCAAATACCAAAGTTTGTTCTTCATTCTTATACAAAAAAAGAGCTTCACGTTAGACATTTTTCAAAAGTCTAAAATGAACAAAGAATAGATTTCCCCTTCTCAAAATTTGGTTCACAAAAGATAATGGACTAGTGATTTTATAGTGTAAACACACGCACAATGTATTGCGTTGGATTTATTTTCTCCAATTATGGCCAAAGCAATTAAAAGAGCGAAGGGAGACATGTCAGCCAATAACTTGGGAAAGGAGGAAGAACATATTTGTGTATTCTATTTTAAAAACCTTATTTTTAGTTTTTATTTAAATGTAATTTATTCTTAGTTTAAATTATTTATTTTCATAGCACAACCATAATTCGATAGCAAAATGAATAAGAACCGAAACCGCTTATAAGTTTGCTTCTGTTGCCACCAACTCTCTGAAGACGCTAACAGTTTCTCTACATCTTTGTTATTATGATATTCTGTACCCCAATGATGCTGATTTGCATGTATAGAAATGGGACATTTGACCAGAAAATGTATGCAAATTAACTAATTAAAAGGCAAAAGGGAGAGGATACTGGAGATGTTATTTAATCAGCAGCCCTAAGGGGAACATTTCAACTTTATTGATGTTTTTAGGACTACACCACTTATTTTTGCCTTATTTGTGCAAAAGCCGTGCAATCCTTTTGTCAATACTCTCTCTCTCTACAATTCCGAACCCTCACCTGCTGTTGAATCTCCGCGGGTGTTTCTCTCTCATGGAGTGGAAACGATGTGCAATAGATGCATCCTGTCAAACACACATTTCACTTAATTTTCATTAAGAAATGTAAATGTTTATTCCTTTCATGCTTTGGCAGTGACTCACCACTCCTATAGAGAAGTAGTTGTTAATGATCTCGTAGGGCACGGGGTCTCCTGCGTCCTGGGGGTCTTCTGGTATCACCTGGATACTCCAGCGGTCCATGGGAACCTGCTCGCTAGCTTCAACCTCCTTTAGGATCTCTCTCAAGTTTGACCCGTCGTAGCCTTTCACAAGATACAGAAGAAGCAGAAAGGGTGAGACACAGAGCTCCAACGCTAGTCACAACACCTCAGTGATGTTTAGAGGTAATGTGCTGGGGGCTTCACCTCCTCCCCAGCGCAGACAGCGGGCCAGGTCGTTCCCGGTGCCCAGAGGCAGGACAGCCACCGGATGACGCACCTGCAGGTCTGCTTTGTCTGAAATAACAGGAACATTTATTACATTTAGAGATGGTTTCCTTTATTACCTCTCTAAACCCAAAAAGGACCCTAAGTACCTATAGCATCCAGGAGCCAGCCGACGGTGCCGTCTCCTCCACACACCAGGATCCTGTACTGATGCAGACTGCGGAAGAAGTGAAGTCTGAAGAAACAAAGAAAACATGACATTAAGCTCATTGTCTAGAATGCTTTATTACAAAACCTTAAATGCATTCAAATCTGCTAATACCACTTTCTAATTATAGATAATATTGCTTGTAAATATTCACAATTACAGTAATTATAACAAATGATTAAGCATTTTATAAAGCGTTAAAAGGACTTAAAACTGTGATATAATTTAATTGTCACATTTTTCATTCATTCAGTTGTAATACATCATTAGCACTGTTATCCTATGATTATAATGTGATTTTAAGTTATTCTCCGTGGGAGTTGTATGCTTTAAGTGAAGTAAACAATAATTTTAGAACGTTTTGTGTTGTTAATAATATGACCATTGACCATTTTATGAATATAATGGTTATAATTCCATATAAAAGAATATATTAATGTATTACAAAAAAGGGACTTATATTTCAAAATAACCCTTGTGAAAAAAGGCCATCATTCAGTTTATTATTAAGAATTATTTGGTAGTCATTATAAAAGGCTTTTATAATGAATTATCATTATTGTTATCAAGCATTATTAATATCATTATTGCACTTACATTTACAATTATTATGCATTACATGTATGTTTGTAAAACATTAAAGACATGGGCGTACATATGTACAGTAATGGTGGTGAAAGTGTACAGTACCCTGGTGCAGGACCCCCGTTGGAGAGGTTGTACACCTGACGCGGGTTCAGAAGGTACTGAAACTTCCTGAGCACTCTGTGGAACAAACAGAGAAGGAAGCACACAAATGAAAAGGATATTCCTATTCCAAAAATGAAATGAGAATTAGTAGAACACTTTGGCACTAGTCTAGGAGTAAAGAACATGTCACCATCATATGGAGATTTTAATCTGCTTACCGTTCCCCCTGCATTCCTCCACTCTTTGGGTTCACAAACACCAGCAGAGGGTGCCTGTCTGAAACTGGAAAGATCTGAAGAAGAAAACATGACAGATTCAGATCCAATAGATAATGTAGATCACCTGAAAAACACGTACATATTGTAAGGATTTAATGTGTGAACACATGCTTTGAGTGAGGCTTCTTTGGTGCAGCATCATGCAAACTTCTGCTGTCTGTTGATACAGAAAATGTTGAGTTTAAAAAAAAAATAGCTTTGGTTTATACATGACCGCCATTCACCATGGCTTCTTTGTGTCCTCTCCTGGAGAAATTGGCAACCAATGATTGGCCTTTTGTTGCCTTCAGCGACAACCCCTTGTGAACATATAATGAGGGACAGGAAATATCAAAACATGCATCCCAAAGTTCATATTTATTGTTTATATGTGTTGCTTTAATATTGTCAAAATATTGCTGATGATGCTTTTATTCTTATTTTATGTCACATTTCTTTGGCCCAGTCTTTTTGAACACTACGAATCACTGAACGTGGAGAATCTCCCAAAAGCAATGATATGCAGATGGTGTTTTGAGCAGGCAATTTGAAATAAACCTCACAGAGAAAACATGGGTGTACAGTGGGATAAGGAATAAAATGTCTTAAGAAGATTTGATGACGCAGACCTGCAGGATGTGGCCGTCAGGGGTGACATTCAACAGGCTGCTGTCCTCCTCCTGAAAAATACAATTAAATTAAATTACAATATTCTAACAACTACACCACAAACAATTCACTGACAATATTTCTAATTTTGGTAAAGCACATTCCTTGTATTGCTAATTTTACCTTTGAGATGGGGAATATGGCCCACGGAGGCAGTATATGATTTCTTAGTGGCCCACAATCACAGGACGATAAGCCGGAGAAAATACACTCATCGTGACGCTTAAAAAGAGACAACATTTAGCGAGCATATATTAAAAGAAAATGTATCCTCTCTAATTATTTCAGTGTTTCCAAACATGAGCACACTCCTCACCAATTCCTGGCACCACACACAACGCCTCCCGGCCAGAGTTTTGATCTTCTTGTGGCAGACCTGACACTTGTTGGAGTTACAGTCCGCTCTGATCCAGTCGTGAGCCGCGATCTGAGACACAGAGGAGAGCAAAACAGAGTGTTCAGGAAAATATGTATATCATTACTTTCTGAGATTCATTTAAACAGTTTGATCAATAGCAAGATTAAAACTCATTCTTTGTTGTCTGTTTCAAATGACCCAGAAGTTGACAGGGGAGGGGAGTATGATAGTGATAATAGTTTCTCTTTTGTTAACTGGACTTATAACTTCAAACTGTACATTTTATATTTATATTTAATTGAATATGCCATTCTTGCACACTAAATGTAAATGATATCCCGCTTTTATATTGTGTTAGCTGTCATTTTGCCCTTCAATAGTGTTTTATTTGTCATAGTTTACAGATTTGTATCTTCATGGTCAACTTTTATATTTTCATTCTTTTAGTTCGGTTTTTTCTTCTATTTTGAGATGTTTATATTGTATAATGGCTCATTTTATACTCTGTTTTAATTCTAATTGTGTGCAATACTTTGTTTTATATGCTGCTGCATTTCGCAATTTGGGATTAATAAAGTATATCTTAAATAATCCTTTAAGATGCAGCTCACACAAGAACGTAATTACTTTAGTGACTATTTCTACTTACTATAACTAAATAAGTTATATATTACCCCTGTTTATTTTTTATGATCAAGAGATTTATATCTTATAAGATATTGTTAATCCTGCAATGTGCAGTGTTTTATGTCTTTTTTTTTATAATTCCTGAAATAAATCCAATCAATCACTGACGTTCACACATTCTTCTACCCATAATGTCAAGGCAAGTCTTTACATGATGTTGAACTTTCGCCCCAGGACCAACTGGATGTTCATTAGAGCGGTGCCAAACCCCAGCCCAGCCCTGAAGGACTTCAGGGAAATTATGTTATCGTTGACTTCAAGAGAATTAGCGCAGAGCACACCCTCTTTATAGCAGCGGTGGGAGATATGCACATTGTTAGACGTATCATCTTTGTGAAAAACTAATGACAGGCAGACGTGCATCAACAGATCTAAAACCCCTTAAGCACACTGGCAAATCAAACCTCCGGAAGCAGCAGACGAAACCTGGCAAGTAAACTGATGAGGCGTATTACAGATTTTCCATTGTGCTTGAATGAATATACATCAGAAAATAAAAAAAACACATATTGTGCCAAATCAGGACATTGAGCAGAACATGCAACTAATAGTTAGTTGCAGCCCTATAACCAACATGAATTAAAGGTGGGGTAGGTAAGTTTGAGAAACCGGCTCGAGATACACTTTTTGTTATATTTCATGGAATGCTCTTAACATCCCGATAGCAATGAATATCTTAAGTGCTTTGACAAAAAATCCATACAAAAAATTCATATGTGTGTAAACCGTAGCACTGTAAAAAGCACGACCAAACATTTTAGCCGGCCCGGCTAAAATAACTGGATGGCCTACCTGCCTGTCAGCCTTCCATCTAACTCAAGGGTGTAACTTTGGTTTGAGAAGTGGGGGGGGGGACAAAACAGGGGTCCTCCACAATGAAACATTTTCTCAATTTAATTCCATTTCCTGCCTTTCTACAAATATATTAGGGATGGTGTTAACAAATCCAAGAAAAATGTGTAGTGCATATAATGAGTGTGCACACTTATCTAGTATCCTATCCATGTGAACCTGTTTTATTTGTGCTGACCTCACATCCTCTAGGGGGGTCCGGGGGCATGCACCCAGGGAAGATTTTTTTCTTTAAATTGAAGCTAAATGCATCAATCTGGTGCACTTTGAGGGCAACATTAAGAGATGTAAGGATACAGTTCTCAACACTCATATGAAACAGAACTGTATATATTTCAATACTCCAAAAAGCCATTAGAATATGCAAGCAATAACACATCATTGATAAACTCCTCTCTCCTATCTTTATCTTACCTAGTCTGCATTCTTTCTTTTTATTGATGCATATTTGACTAATCACTCCCCTTTCAAACTGTGTTTTTTATGTTTGTACTGACCTATAGTACACATTGGAAGGGTTTCTTAACTTATTTTATATACAACTAATATTACATAGATGGAAATATTTGTTTACATAGAAGACCAAACCGTTTGAGAATCACTGAGATAACTAGACTAAAGTTTACAATCTAATCACTCAGAGTCCTTTACCTCCCTGAGCTGACGTTATCTCTCTCAGTCCGACAGGAGCGGACTCTTCCTCTCCGTATTGTTGAAACAGCTACTAATCTCCGTTAGCTCCGAGCTATCACCAACCCCCGTGACTCTGTCTGTCTGTCTGTCTGTCTGTCTGTCTGTCTGTCTCTCTCTCTCTCTCTCTCTCTCTCTCTCTCAAAGTCCGACAGGAAAGAGCTCTCCCTCTCCTTATTGTTGAAACAGCTACTAATCTCCATTAGCGCCGAGCTAGCACCAAATGCTAACAACAACCCCCGTAACTCTCTCTGTCTCTCTCTCTTTTTCTCTGTCTCGCTCTCTTTTTATCTCTCTCTCACAAGATGCGCTCGTGCCCCACNCTCTCTATGTCTCTCTTTCTCTGTCTCTCTCTCTTTTTATCTCTCTCTCACAAGATGCGCTCGTGCCACCACACACACCACCACACACACACACACACACACACACACACACACATACAGACGCTCCTCCGTGACGATGACCATTTGCGTAAAAAATTAATAAACACATTTAAAAAGTGGGGGGGACACAAATGGGATTTTGAAAAGTGGGGGGGACATGTCCCCCCTGTCCCCAGTGGAAATTACGCCCATGCACAAACTTATCTCGTGCCCTCATTGGTCATGTGCGCGTTCGTGTGTGTTGAGTGGAGGGGCTCTGTGTATCCGGCTGTGTATTTTCAAATTCTTGCGCACTCGAGCTGGTTTCTCCAAAATTACCTACCCCACCTTTAAGTGATATGTTTCTCAGCAGCCTGATTTAAATTGATGTTGAAAAAAGTATTGAAAGACATTTTAATGTATCTTTGTTGTTGTTATGTTGATAAATGGAAAATATCAAAAAAACTAAACTTATCTTGCTGATTTAAAAAACGACAACAAATCCAATGTAAGGAAATGTTCATAAAGTGTTTGTGTGTGTCCTTACACCAATCTCCTCTTTTGATTTCACAAAGGTACGAGAACAGGGTTCAGGATTCTTGTTGGCACATCGACTGTGGACAGTGTACTTGCAACCTGGGGGCCAAGAAGAAGGAAGGTTAGGTTAGGAATTATTATTCTATAGCAAATGGCACAATGTGTGACTACTCCTCATCACTTGAGCAGTGTGTGCGGTGCGTGGCGGCCCCCTGGTGGCGGCGCTGAGCTCTTACAGGTGCAGCAGAGTCCCTGCTTCCCGAGGCCGAGCAGCATGTTCTGACACACGCTGCAGTAGGTCGGCTTGTTGAAGTGCTTCATCCTCCAAATGTGCTGTCCATCCCTCTCTGTCATCTGCAGGGGAGAAGGAGAAAGAAATTAGAAAGAACAAGAACCCCAGAAGACCACACTGCAATAAGAGCAAAGGCGACCAATTTAAGTGGGTTAAACCCGAGCAACACTGACAAAACAGGGGGTGTTGAGGGGACATGAGAGTGTTTTATGTGTCAAATGCTTGTTCACTTACCTTCAGTCCGAGCAGGACAAGTAAAGGCACATTGTTCATGCCTCCTTTCACCCATTCCTCCAGAGTGACATACCCACTGTCGTCCACATCGAACGCTGTCATCATTTCTTTAAGCAGCTGTACACAGGCAAAAAATAAAGCTTGTTATTTACTATCTAACTGCTGCACAGTTAGCTTCATTTCACATATCTTAGCTGCTGTTATTAAGGTCTATTTGTAATGTAACATTTATTATAACCCTCCTACTAAAGATTCTTCATTATTATACCCTCATGTTGATTTTTTTCTGATAACATATTTATTATTTAAAGCTTTAAATGAAAAATACAAAATGAGACTCATACTGGTCTGAGTTCAGTCGCATCCCATCCCAGGTAATCAGCAGCTCGCATCATCTGGGTGATTATACGATCCACTTCCTGATGGAGAAAAAAACATATTTTTTATTCACAGCAGACATGTTCTTTTTCAATGTACAATATATCGTTACCTCTGACAAGTATGCTGTGTGCTCTACATTTTACTTTAAAGACGGTCATGTGTTACTATACTGTAGGTCTAAAACCAACACAACAAAAATGTAAATTAGACTCTTTTTTTGCAGAACTAAATGCAACAATAAATGAACGTATGTCAACTGTTCTAGGTGAATAGTGTGTGTTAGTCATTGTGAGTAACTTACAGAGCTGTCCAGGAGTTGGTTGCAGTCTTTATCATAAAGTTTGAAAGTAACTACAAACAAAACAAAGGCAGTCAGTGCTTCAGCCATATTTATCCTCCTCCTCAAAATGTTCAAATCAATCAAAATGTACATTAAATCCAGTTGCAATATAATAAACTTGTTGTTAAATGATCAAATCAAGATGATACCCACATTCAAGTTTTTCACGTGGCTGTCCTTCCTCCAGCACCGAGAAGTAACAGGACACGTCACTAAGAGAGACCCTGCCTTAAGACAAAGAAATATAGAAATACAGACACCTTTATTATATTACTGAGGTCTGAAACAGCAAGTCTTAGTTTTGTTTCCTTCCGGAATAAAATGTTAGTCTGCAGCAATAAAACTATAAGAGCAAGTATTTAGTCAAACGTTGGTTATTTTGGAATAGGTGCAGTAATCTCCAAAGATTTTCTACGCCCACGGCTTCATTCCTATGAAGCAGCACAACAAGATAAAAACAAACAAACAGGTGGGCGTTGGACAGCGTCCGACAGGAAATACTCTTTCTTTCTTCCTCTGATTATTTACAGTATGTTATTTGAAACATTACCAGCCACACTCAGGGCTGATGACTGTAGAGCTTTAACTCTTAACACCTGCTCTATGCTGTTATGTAAAAGGATATAGGGCTTTTAACATGATTTACCTCCCTTAGGCAGAGAGCACTTATTGGACCCATCCTGATCCACATGTTGAAAATAATAAAAAAGGCGCTGAGAGAAATCTGCAGGGAAGTCGTCCACTTCTAGGTAGGTCTTGAGAAAGAGAGAGAAACCCACTGCATCCATGCACTGTGTAGAGAAGTGTCAAGTCAAAACAAATAATGTGTCAGTGTAACATTTATATTAATTGCAATGCTTCATTTTACTGTAGGCCTATATAATCACCTTATAATTTCCTAGAACATTTGTAATCTGCAACTCATTACAAGACCATGGAGTTAAGTGTAAATGAATTGACCTAAAATAACATTTATTCCATGTAACGAATAGGAAGTGCTCAAAAATGGAGGGGCTCAAAATGTGATATGTAGGTAGTTAAGCAAAAAAAAATTAACGTTTATATATAATAAAATATCATTGTCCTGAAAAGTATTATCCTGGTTTTTCTTTTGTAGAAATCCCTGTTTTCTTTATTATAAAAACACCTAAATGTAACCTTTTTTTCAGGAAATGTAGTGCAAAATGTATTTGAATTTTTTATTTTATTTGTACCCTGTCAAATAAAGACTTAATACGTGTATCATTGATCTTTGCATGACTCACCTCTCCGAATCTGTGCTGAGCCAGCCGACCCCCTGCGTGAAACTCCTTGATCACATCTTTCACCCTCAAACTGCTGTCTGCAAAGAGAACAACAGAAAGTGAGTGAATACACAAAAGAATAAAGGTCACACAAAAATAATCCAATTTAATTACACATTTATAATATGAATGTTAAAACAAGGACACATTTGCAAGAGCATAATTATTAGAGAAGGACGTACAATTTTTTTTTTCTAAGGTCCAGTGTAATTATCCCTTAATCAATTATCCAACAGTGCAAATACCCTCTGCCCCCCCAACGTAACACTAAAAGCCCATTTCAATTCTCTCAAAGCCTCTGAGTGTATAGAGAATATTTTTAGCCCCGCTCAACTTCTAGTTTCCTGCTGACTGCTTCTCTCTATCCACTAATAGTAGTTTGAATTCTGGCGCATGCACTTACAGTTACGAGTTGTTGTTTGTGTACTTGAGTTATTGCTGAATGATCCTCAAAGGATCCTTAAGAAGCAATTTAATGATTAGGAACTTCCCCAGTCATGTATTCAATGATGTTTAGTTACTACTGCTGCTCTCCCTTTTGTGAATATCGATTGATCTCCCAAAGGAGACATTCTCAAGTTTGAAGGAGGCTTAAAACTCATTAAAGTCTCTGATCCATCAAGTCTAAATGTAGAATGTTTATTCATCACACAGGCTCAGGTGTTTCAACATTTTCCTCTTCTGTGCCGGAGGTATAAGCTAAAACATAAGATTACAAGAAGGTTGTGATTTAAGTGTGTAAGTGTGTATTTCTCCTCATCAAGTATCGTTCATGTCTTAATGTCTTTCTTTTTTTCTACAACTAAATAAGTCACTGACCATTGTGTGGTCACTTCCAAACACTCAATGCTAGAAGAAGTATTCAGATCTTTTCAATTATGCTCGGAAAACCAGCAGCCAGGCAGTTTAATTTATACAAAAACGTGATATAAACTCTTAATAAAGTGAGAAGAGAAAAATGCATAAGCGCTATTGTCTTTTTCAAAAATCCAATGAATTTACTTTATTTTTAATGTATTGTCCTGATGCCTACATTTCAACTGAAATTACGATATATTAAAGTATTTTAAAATAATTTGCAATAATGCTTTTTCATAAAACACATATGTAAACTGACCTCTAAATCATAGATCTCACATCTGAATACATGTCCTTAAAATAAGTCTTCTTATTGTTTTATTATCTGTTTTACTCTGTAAACCCAATAGTTACAGAAATGAGTGAGGAGGTGAAACTGACCTTCCATGTAATGCTGCAGCTGGATAAAATCCACAGGAGTCAGAGATCCTTCTGCATCACCAGAGGAGGCCATGTCCAGCAGCTGGCTGAGCAAAAAGAAAATAAGAGGCCGTGGGAGGACACCAACACAAAGCTTTGAACACAACAGAGGCCTCCACAACCAAAGGGGTATACTGTTTCATATAAAAGGTAGGTCCTCCACTGTTTTGGCAGTGAGTGACGCATATAAAACTGGTTTGCATGCATTCCTTGGATTGCAAACAACATATTCAAACACTCCCCTCTTCAAAAACACTGATTAACCAGAGTCTGATTTCAGATATCTAGACAGTATCTTTGATAGCTGAGGAATCTTTATCAACCAGTGACAACGAGACCTATCATTCCACATTCAAAGAGTTCAGTCATGCACAGATTAGTTGACACCTTTAGAAATATGTAAATAAATCAGAGGTGTATTAGAAGATTTTACAAGATAAGGATCGGCCCACATGAAGTTACAACAGTAATAACATGCAGGATCAGGCTCTATGTTGATTGTCAGCACCCAATGAAACAAAACTGCCGCCAACAGAATAGGATATTTAATTGAACAGCAGCTTGTCGAGGCATTGGTTGTGCTGGTAAATGTGTCCAACAATATTCTCTGCGTATGTCTCCTATCTCACAAAAAACACTTTGTAATATCATTCTAGCCTAACCAGCAACCTACTGTTAGAGCAAATCACATACATCTCAACCTTTTAAAAGGGGCAACCATCAAATAGGATTATAATGTGAAGCTATCTGCCTGAGTAACAGCCACTGCTTTTTAACTTTTTATTAAGTGCTGCACAGGTGTTCAGACATCCACACAGGAAGAGGGCTAAGGCTGAGGGCGAGGCAAGTTTATTTAAACCAAGTCAATTGAAGGCTCCTTACCTTCCTCTCTCGTCAGACTTCAAATAAAAATATGTCCCAAACTCGGAGCTTCACGGCACGGAACTTTGATGTTTTTATTGACGACAGCTTGTGCTAGTGAGTAAATGTCCCTGATGGTATTAGCGGATGTAGGAGATTAAGGAATAGGGCAGAGGAGGAGCTTAAATACAGACATAATTACTGTTAGTGGCACCGCCTTGCGCGCGTTAGCACACACAAGCGAAATAGCCATACACAAGCAAGCGCACTTTGATTTATTTGACCCTGCCAACATGTCAAATCAATCTGTGAGCTGTTTTTTTTTTAAGGGGGCAGAGTGACATGGAATATAGAGATAGTTGCTGAGGCAAGTGAGTGCAGATTCACCGCAGATAAAATACAACAAACTGAAAGTGGAGGAACAGTTGACACGTCAATGTTTTTTCTGATTTTCAATCACACTCTATGTTACTATGCTCCAAATACACGTGTCCAACTAAAAGAGCAATATAACATGTATATAGAGCAAGGAAGGGTGAACATATAGCCTAATATGTGACAACAGTTTTCACATAACATATTTGACACATGACTGTCATGTAAATTAGTCACATGTCAATTGTATTTAATGTGGACTTTTCTTTAAATAGTATACAAAACAAACAAGCCGTTAAATAACTCTCTGCATATCTGTTTGTTGAGTCTTAGTCTAAATCAAGGCCGTAACCATGGAGTCAACATGGGGGGGGGACCAAAAATTAAATCGGAATTTGAATACTAATTTCCATGCCATTCTAAAGGAAAATATATAAAAATTCACTAACACATGGGATACTTTAAAACCTGTTAAACCCCGTGGGGGCAAAAAACAATATATCACGAAACTGTGTCTCAGGCATGGGCGTAGGAAGCTTCCTCAATGTGGGTGGGACAATTTGACGGGGGGTGTGGGCAGGTGGTGGACCTAACCTCCTCTAGGGGGGTCCGGGGGCATGCTCCCCCGGGAAGATGTTTTGATGAAGTTAAATGCATCAATCTGGTGCACTTTGAGAGCAAAATTAGGAAATCTATGGATACATCTCTCAACACCCATTTGAAACAGAACTGTAAACAGATTTACTTTTTCTTTATGCATATTTTACAAATCACTCCCCTATACTATTCCTGAAAAGTCCGGTTTTAACATCAGAACTACAAGTTATTTGCACAAAGAATTAGAAGAATAAGAATTGGAGAGGGATGAAACCCTCTTTTTATGGTCACACATGCAGAGCACACAGCACACACAGTGAAATGTGGCCTCTGCATTTAACCCATCCTAGTACCAGGAGTCTAAGTACTAGGAGCAGTGGGCAAAGAAGCTAAACCGGAGGGTTCATTACCATTACGAAATAAAATAATATAGTTTAGGGCTAACTAAAAAAGATACCAGAACTGATGGAGGGCAAATTAAGACATGACCGACCTGCTTGGAGCATCAACGCTAACTGAAGCTGGACTCGCGACAGCGAAATACACCCCCCGGGCACAAAATAAAGGTAGGGATGTGTGTCCCCCCAATGTATATGGTGAATTCGGCCCTGGTCTAAATGAAACTTGTATGGGATTGTTTCAAAATTAAAATAGGAACTTTGACACTTAAAGACATCGTCTAGACATGTTTTAGTAACATAAGTTGGACCCAACCCGTACACATAAGTGAAATCAATCCACCAGTCAACACTGCAAGTCCATGCTTCCTGGCCTCCATCATCATCATAATATCATCCAAAAAGCAGGATATGGAAAATACCCAAATACATTATACCTCAAACGTGTACATAAGTAAAGGCAGGGCTGTCCCTCCCTACAGGCCGATCATGCAGACTGTGTGGGGCCTCACCTTGCGTAGGGGGCCTCATCTTGCGGAGGGTGCCTCAACTGAGCCGAAAATGTGGCGCACCAATGCGCTTATGCGGCGCAATTGGTGTGGCGCGGCATGGTTTCACCGCTGCGAGGCTTCACTAGCATCCCCCCCTCTTGCTGGTTCAAGACCAGCCTGGACAGCTAAACCAGCTAGACCAGCATGGATGTCATGCTGGTCTATTGGGAATGCTCATTGATGTCATTAAGAGCCATTGAGTCTAGCTTTTGTAGTCGGCCTCTTAGAATGTTTATCACTTCTTTGTCTCTTAACATTCCTATAATATTTTTTATTTTTTTATTGTTATACTAATAGTATTGTTGTTACCATCATTTACTATTATTAATAATGTTTTCTTTGTTTTCTTTATTTATGACTGCAGAAAGGATCATGCCAGCCCACATCAAACACCTGATCAATACATTGTGAATCTTCAGGCAGTAAAGATGAAAACACCTGTTCAAAGTTCCAGTTTCCTGTACATCGAACCATGCCTGTATGGGACTCTGTTCCACATGTCTTCAGTCAGTTCTGGACCCTGTGACTCGGACACTATTCTATCAAGGCTTATTAGAGGTAAGAGTGGTATAGGAGAGGGGTGGAGTTATCTTTGTATTTAGGCTGCAAGTCGACAAAGGTGATCAAATGCTGATGCTAATAATGATCTGATTAATTTCATATTGATTGTCTGCCAATACCGAATCCTGATCCGATTTTTCTATTTCCCAGATAATACAGCTGCACCGTGTAGTGTATACTAGCTCTATTGGTTTTTGCCATTGTAAATAATAAGCAATTGTTGACTGTAAAGTCTATGCCAACTAACTGTAATTTGTAATGTATTTTACCGTACTTTAACAGTCAAGTTCTGGCAACCACAGCAGCCCAAGTGTTAACGTAAATATCAAGTTTTCTTTTTACAGTGTACTTATATCTGTACATTTATTTTCAGTTTGCTTCAAGAAGTGGCTTCAACAGACATAAATGCAGGCCAGATTGGGCCAGATTGGGCCAGATTGGGAAAGGCTGGACGCTACACAACGGGAAACATTATGGATATGCCAAAACCAAAAACACTTTCTTTGTTGCCTTTTTCTTATCATAGTGTTACTGTTTTTGTTACCATTTAAATATTGAATTATATTTATTATTATGAAAACTAGACTAGTCATTTTCCCCACAGGCAGTAGGTGGCGGTAACGGGCTCAAATTGACAGTGACAGCCGCATTTAATGCTTAGAAGAAGAAGAAACCCTTTACGCAGGTGTTTACGTTTTCCTACTTCCGTAGCTGCCTAAAAGCGAAATAACGTTTATAATCTAACGTTAAATCCAACAAATTGAGTGGAAACCCTCGGTCATGTTTCTCCTTTTTAACTAATCGTTAAGTTTCAGATATGCCTGACAGATAAATATTACTGAGGTCGTTTGCTGCCCACTATTGGCGCTGTATCGCGAGTTTTCCTCATCTTCCATCGCAGCAAAGCTAAAGCTAAAGCTAGCGCTGTGTTAGCTGCAGGTCAGCGGCAGTGGATATAATTTGAATAATCATCGCCTGATCCGCATTTTATTCAGTGTAAATTTAGATATCACATAAGGCAGTCATGGCCACTAGGCGTCTGACCGATGCCTTCTTGTTAATGCGGAACAATGCGATCCAAAACCGGCAGATATTGGCTGAGCAAGTGAGTACATACGACCCCCGTCTGAGTACACGTAGCAATGCTGCGGTGAGTTGTCTGCATCGTTTTGACATTTTACTTTGTGTGTTGTGTGCATTTAGCCAGTCACTGAGCTGTCTTAGCTAGATACAGTATATATAGTACTATAAGTATAGTAGTAGTTAGTGGTATAGTTGTATTTCACACAGGGCTAATTGTTTCATGTGACTCAGTGATGGAGGAAGATGGACTGCAAGGATATATTTTTCAGCTCGTAATAGCTAAATGCTTTGAGTAAACATTGGAGACAATCTATATATTAGTCAGCAATTGTTAATTTCAAAGATAAAATACGTTGGTAGCATATGTTGGGTGTGTTTTTGTAAAAGATAATGCATGTTTTTGATGTCCACAACAAACGTATTGCTAGAGGAGCATATCCTCTAGCAATACTTTTGTTGTGGCCACTGTATAAAGTCAAAATATTGTTAAAATATCCTGAACTACTTAAATATTGAAACTAATATTTATGGAGGTGGTTTATTGAAATCTATTGAAGCTATTATTAAAGAAATGAATGTAACCATGACAATGTTAAAATTAACTGTATTTATTGTAGATCACATCTGGCCAGACACCATTGTTGCTGTGTATCTCTGTGTCTCACTCAGTTTTAATTTCAATTTAATTCAAATATCTTTGAGAAAATACCACATGACATACATAGGTTTCTCTCCCTCAGTTTGTTGTCTCTTTTCGTTAAAGGGGAATTTTATTTTACATACCACATTGATGGGAAATGTGATGTTGGGTCTCAGCAAATGTATCACATATTTTAAGCTTGAGCATGAGCAGTTCACAGCTCTCCTGTGTTTGCGCTGAAGTTCACCTCACCTCTCCAGTAGAGGCCAGGTGCAGGGCACACAGCACAGTGAGCAGGTGCAGGGTGTGTTTAACCATTCACACCCAATTGTGAATATTTTAACCAGTTAACTGCTTGCTGAAGTAGATTTACTTCTGCCAACTTGTCCTCTAGGCCTGGGTATGTTGTAACTTATTTTATTTAAGGCAGTAAAACATTTGTTTATTTGATTCTTGATAGAAGTTAAAAGGTACAACGTTTCACAGGAAATACTTTTATTTTGAAGTGCAAGTATGTGTCCTCCTCTGACACCTTCCTGTTGTTATGAAAATTGAATATGAGCATATCGAGTGCATTTTCTCTGTCTTCCACCGTTCCTGTTGGAAACTGTTTAATGAATATAAAGTAAAAGTTCAGTTTGGATAAGACTGCGCTTGGTTCTTCATTCGAAGCTTCTATTACACAACAGGGTATCAGTTTACAAAACACGATACCAGTCTTATACCAAAGCATACTTCATTGAAGTACTTCATTTGATACCTACTTTTGTAGCCCTTTCACATACAGTATATCATGATGGAAACTCAGTATGACTGTGGTTGTGCTTGACTTTACCACCACAGTCTTGTATCTGCTGCGGTAGCGGGCCAATCACTTGTTGCAATAAATCTAATAATTCTTGCAGTGATTGGCTTCGAGCAAAACCTTACAAAGAACCCTTTGTTCGGCATGAGTACAAAAAGTATCAAATTCTAATTAGTTATATCAACGTTTTTGATACAACTTGTTACTGGTTTAATTCTGCCGTCATCTTAAAAGTATCAAGTTCCAATACCCAGCCCTGTTGTACATCCAGAGTTACTGAACACAGCGATATCCAAATATGCAGTTTAAGTTTGCATTTGCAAAAATGTGCTTCTGTAGTAAAGGTTATACGCACAGACTTCTCCTAACCTGAGGTGAGGCCATTTAGGTAAAAATATGTCATGCTCAATGGTGAAACTGCTGTTTTCGACATATTCACTCCTCATAAAGTTTAATAATACACAATTCTAAAAGCTGTGGTGAGAAATAGTGAAAGGGCCATAAAGGACCATGAATAAAACACCTGTATTCAGATGGTCTCCTCTGGTGTAAAGACTCACTCACTCTTTAATTAGACCTCCATTGACCCTTCACAGAACACACATTACACTGTTCCAACCACACTATGTGTCATGTAACATATAACGTTTGTGTCTTACTATCGTATTTGTCTTCCAGTGTCTGTGTTTTGTCCCAATGTCCCTGTATCAGAGTTCATTCATAGGTGCTGTAAAACGGTGTTCTATCTGCACTTTCCAACCAAGGTCACAGATTAGATTTACATTAGCCAGTGTTGAGATTGTGATCCATTCTTTTTACAGTAGTGTAGTTATAACATCTATTCACAAAGACTGAAATATATTTGCAGTGACTAAAAGGCACTGAATCAACTAAAACAACAGTGTTTGCCATTAGAAGACAAACACTTAACTTGTTAAAGCTGTTTTAAAATAACTGACTTTGCCAGAAGGCACAAGAGACTCAAATAAAGCTAGAAATCTGGGTGTAGCAATGGACTCAGACCTGAATTTTAACACATTTCAACAGTTATCAAATCTGCATACTATCACCTGAAGGACTTAGAAAAGCTTGTCCATGCTTTCGTCTTCAGTAGACTGGACTACTGCAATAGTGTATTCACAGGGCTGACCAAGAAATCCATCAGAAAGCTGCAGCTGATCCAGAACGCTGCTATGTTCGAGTCCTCACGAACACTAAAAGAGTGGATCACATCAGTCCGGTTCTGAAATCTTTACACTGGCTTCCAGTCGGCCAAATAATTGATTTTAAAGTACTATAGTTTTTAAATCACTAAATGGTTTAGGACCAAAGTATATCAACGATTTCTTGCATAATAATTAACCATCAAGGTGTCTCAGGTCTTCTAGGACGGGTCTGCTCTCGGTTCCGAGAGCAAGACCAAAACATGGAAAAGCAGCGTTTAGCTATTATGCCGCAACAATCTGGAACAAACTGCCTGAATCGTGCTCGTCCGCAGAGACTCTTACTATTTTCAAATCGAGACTGAAAACATATATTTTTGCTGCTGCTTTTAATTGAACTGCTTTTAATTGAACTGCTCATATTCACACTGCAGTTTGCTTTTTATTCATGTATTGTATAACTGTTGTGTTTATCTTATTATCTTTGCCTTTTTAAATGCCTGTTTTTAAATGCCATTATATAATGTGTTTTACTGTATTTATTCTTAAATGTCTTTTATTTTATTTTGTAAAGTACTTTGAATTGTCGCGTACTGAAAGGTGCTATATAAATAAACTTGCCTTGTCAGTTCAAACAAGACAAGACACAAGAGAGACATATTTATCCAAAATAAGGCCCAGGCTGTTTTATATTCTATTACATATTTAAGTCCTGCTATTTTTTGCTTTATGTTTCTTACACCTAATGGTTTGTTTAAAGTGGAATCATTTGCACATATTTTCTAGATAAATGTAATGTAGCATTCACTCTCTAGATTTACACTTTTGCACATACACGCATGTAAACTCAGGACGAATGATTCTCAATTCAACTGCCAGACATTATGTACCTCTGCTGTACAGCAATTATAATATTATACTTCAAATGTATTAGTTATATACAGTAGGGGAGTGGATACAAAATCACTTTTCTGGTATTAACTGCTGATTTGTCTGGGACTAACTTTCTGTTACTTCTGTCCTTCTCTCCTTTTCCTTGTTTTCTATTGGATGGGACCATCTGCTATCTGCCAATCATATTAGGAGCTTGATGAGGTACTGTTGTTTCCTTTGAATTATTTACACCAAAAACATGTTAATGCATCATCATATTGACTTATTTTAGAAAACGTTTTTAATGGAATCATTTATAATTTGTGTTTTCAAGTTGGCTGACGACCGAATGGCCCTGGTGTCAGGGATTAGTCTGGATCCTGAAGCAGCCATCGGCGTCACAAAGAGGCTGCCTCCCAAATGGACAGAGGGGATTGATGAGGTGAAACACTTAAGATTAAAGCAGAAATATATAGAGACGTATCTGTTAAAGGTTGACATATAAATACAGTATCCCTCTTTGTAAGACCAAATACTCAAAAATGCATCTGTTCCTGTATATTAAAACGGGTTAAGTCCTCTGTATGAGTAATGTCACATGGCTTTCAACCGCTGTGTATTCCCTTTCAGATCCAGTATGAAATCACTCGGGTTCGGCAGAAGATGAAGGATCTGGCTTTACTTCATGACAAGCATATGAATCGACCTACACTTGATGACAGTAGTGAGGAAGAGCATGCCATAGAAATCACTACTCAGGAGATAACACAGGTACAGACATTTACCACAAACAGAGATAATGCTTTTAGAAATAATAATACAATTGCTATCTTTCCAATGTTTTTAGGATTTGGAAAATATATATTTTAGAAAACAGAATATGGGCACTAGTTTGGAAAAAAAATATTTTCCATCCTCCTTTTTCATACTTATCCAGACCTGGAACACGTTTTAGCTTGAGCCCAAAGTCATATAAGCATAATACAGTCTGTGGTGTTGATTTCATGTAAAGTGTTTGAAAGGAAACCAGTAGCTGTTCACTCACTATCTTTGTGTTGATTGCAGATGTTTCACCGGTGCCAGCGAGCTGTGACGGGGCTGCAGACTCGCTGTGGCCACTGTACCGAGCAGGAGGAGAGGCTGCTGAGAAACGTGGTGTCGTCGCTGGCTCAGAGCCTGCAGGAGCTCTCCACCAACTTCAGGCACACGCAGTCCGGCTACTTAAAACGTAAGGACTGCATGGAAGCTATGATTACATTACATATCATTTAGCTGATGCTTTTATTCAAAGCGACATACAATAAGTGCAAAAACCATAAAGAATCAAACTCCGAACAACAAGGGAAGTGCAGATATATTCACTTCAAGCAAGATCATACCATAGTTAGTGCTGATGAATTAGTTACAAGGCCTAAATGAAGTAGTAAGTATTAAAAATACTTTATTTTTTCAGCAAGAACTTAACGGCCAAGGAACAATCGAAATAGATGCGTTTTCAGTTTGCGACAGAAGATATGCAGAGTTTCTGCTGTCTGATTGGTGTTTCTGAATTCTCATCCTGCCTCTCAGATATTTGTAACAATTAACAAGATTATAGCTCATGTTTTTATCTTCAAGTTGTTCGTTTGGGTTGATTATTGGTTTATATTCCAGGTATGAAGAATCGTGAGGAGAGATCAAAGCACTTTTTTGACTCTGGACCCCTAATGGAAGAGGATGAAGATTTAGCTGTATATGACAAGGTGACTATCCAATAACATGTATTAACTCATTCAAGTAAATCCAAATTAAGAGTTTCATAGAGAACAATTAAAGGGGATACTTTAAATTATAAACATGAAACAAACAAGATAAGAACAAAAATATTCCATTAAAAGCCTTAATACCCATTGAGTTATTAATGCAGGTCTACTGTGTCATGTTATCACTTTCCATATGGGTGGAAAAAAATATGTAATGCTTGTTTTTCTTTCCTTTTCAGTTAAATTAAAAATAATTTGTGTTATTTAAGAGGGAGATTCCATGTCTAATTGTGTTACATAAAATCACCTAATTCTTTCAATCAGGGGTTCACAGACGACCAGCTGATGCTGGTGGAGCAGAACACAGTTATGGTGGAGGAACGAGAGAGGGAGATCCGACAGATAGTGCAGTCCATCTCAGATCTGAATGAGATATTCCGGGACTTGGCTGGAATGGTGGTGGAACAGGTATTTTAAGAAGTCCTGACACAGTAACGCACAGAAATAATAAATAGGCTTTATAAGAATTATGGCATGAGGTTGTCCGTGAGTTGCCCTAATGACTTCCACAATTAAAGCATGTTGATGTTTCATATGTGTAACAACAGAGCTTGAAGGACAATTACTGAACTACTTAAGTCACTGCCTATCACTAAATAACAACAATAACAATACTCTTATTTTCCCTATAGGGCACCGTTCTCGACAGAATTGACTTCAATGTGGAGCAGGCTTGTGTGAAAACAGAAGAGGGAGTGAAACAGTTACAAAAGGTAAATGCAAAGGGCTCATGTCCTGATACACATTTTCACTTTTTTAGCTAGGTGATAGTCACCATTCTTTTTAAATCTTTTGTCACACTTGTACAGATGCTAATAATTTTTCCAACTTCAGGCGAAAACAAAAATACGATTTTAAGCGACTAAAAGACAGTGTTGTGATTTTAATTTACCATGAATTACAAACCTTTTAAACAATCGTCTCTGTTTTGATCTCAATTCACTGCATGATGGAAAGAAGCTCAATGATTTGCCTTTCATTCATTCATTCATTCATTAGATGAAAAGACAGCAAAATACAATGTTTGACATTTTTTGTTTTCATTTCCTTTGCAGGCGGAACAGTATCAGAAGAAAAACCGAAAGATGCTGGTCATTTTGATCCTCTTCGTCATAGTCATGGTTCTAATTGTTATACTTTTTGGAACAAAGTTTTAATTATCCATTCCTCTGGCTTTTGTTTTCTGTGTGGGTGTTTGTTGTGCATCTGTGTGGACTTGGACTTGCTCTCAGTTCTGCTCAAAACAAAGCTGACTGCCTTTCATACCCAGCAGGAAACGTCAAGAAGATTTCCTCGTCCCCTTAACAGGTGCACTTTGGGCTGTGTGGAGATAATAGGTTGATTTTTAATGAAAGACAAAATCAATCTGTCTGAGCCCTGGCTATTTTATCAAGTGTCTCGCACCCAAATCACCAAGACTCTGTGACAGAAGTTTGTTGAGCCTGACTATGTTGACAATGTGTCTTAACAAATCAAAAAGAACGTTGGTGTTTTAAGACCAATGTTTAAATCCTAAAGCAGAGTGTTATAATTTCTGTCCAGTTTAATCTAAAGTCATTTTGTTTCTGTGAGGAACGTTTGACAAGTAAGAATGTTTGTGAAACAGAAATATGCAGTTAGCTTCATTTCACTGCAAATCCATGTTCATTCCGATAGTACATTTATGTCCTGGCTCAGTATTGTTCCTTGAAAGAGTATTTAGTATTTGGACGATAGCAGATTTAATTAGAATAGTCTTCTTCTTTTTTTGGTTTAAGGACCATCTATTTTTGTATCCCTTTACTCCACAATTTAAAAATAATACTAAGATTATTGTACTTTTGAAATCCTTACATATGCTGCACTTTTGAATGAGTGAAGGAGGTTATGCTTGCAGTTTGTTTGTTTGTTTGATAGTAAGCAGGATAACGAAAAGACTACTGGCCCGAATTTCATGAAACTTGGTGGAAAGGTGTAGCATGGGCTAAAGAACATTACATTTTGGATCATATCCAAATCACAAAGCGGATACATTATTTGTCCTTTCATTACCGTTGCGATATTTGGCCTGTGCCCTCCCAGTAGTTTATGTTTTAAAGGTCCTTGCTTAAAGTGCTACCTTTTTAAAACCCTTGCAGTTTGCACATATTGAGGCCTGAGGGGAGAAGGGTGGTTTTGTCATGGATGTAATACTACTGACGTCAGTATGATGAACATAATAATTTATTTTTTAATAACTTCAAGAATCAAGAGGTTCAGGGGTGTTCTGTCTGTTGCAGAATGACTGTATATATCTGTAGTCTAAATGAAACAGTTGTTATTGTCCACTCCATTGAGAAAACGGTGATGTGGACCAACACAAGCAGACGAATGAAGACACTTGTGATTTTCTTTTCAGGTCGAACACTTTACATTTTCAGTTGGCTGTTTTTGAATATCTTTACATGTTCTTGTGTTCTGATGTGCTGATTTATGAAGAGCTTTATTTAACATATCTGTGCTCAAATCTACACTTTATACACCTTTCAAATCATCTTTGTCATTGATGTGAAGTTATGTGTGAAAAATTGTTATGTCTTAGTGGTACTCTACTTAAGTTTTGTTTTCCAAACAAACAGGTGAGGAGACTGCAACGATTTTCTAAATAAACCTGGAACATAAATGTGTTTTGTGTGTTTTGAACGGCAGCCTTGATGCAAAGATACCACTTACAAAATTGGACGATCTACTGACTTAATTATATTAACTATTTACTAATAAATTATTACTGATAAATCATTTAAATCGCTTTTAATTCGGGGATTTGCTGCTCATCTCTGTTTTATAGCATCATGAATGAAATGCTGTATAATAAAAATAGAATGAACTTCAATAGGATAATATAAAACATAACTTACAGTGAAATAGTATTATATTAGTAATAGTAGTTTAGTGCAATAGTATAACAGAATAATACAAATTGTATAATATGATGCAGTAGCGGTACACTTTACTATTATACTATTACAGTGTACTACATAAGTAGGCTACAAGTAAGTATATTAAAATATAACAAAGCCAAGTGTTTCATGTTTATAGTTTTTAAGGGTGACATTATTCAAGAGTGTTCATTGTGTGGTGCAAAGTGTTTCAGAATTCATTTCTTGTCACGCCCTGAAGCTAAGTATGTTTTACTCAAATGTCAAATTAAAAGCCTTGTAAATTCCCAACCCTGACAATACTGAGTAGCAGACTTTACACCAAGTGAGCGACTGTATGTAGCTACCAACCATGACTTGTGCAGGATAAGTTGACGACCCGTTCCCGGTTGAAGACAGTATTGCGGAGGCATTTTCTCAGGTCACCGTGTGCACTTTGTCCGGCCAGCAGCTGAACATCAGACAGGTGTTCGCGGCCAGCCTCGGCGTGGCTTCCCGGGTCTGGGAATCTGTAAGAAAAGACAGCTTGGTTTATAATGGCGTTATAAAAAACATACCAGCTATACCAGGTTAAGCATTATCTAACGATGTGGGGTGTATTCTGGTGTGCATAATGGCGTTACACCTGTGTGGTTACCAGGGCCGGCCCTAGACTTTTGGGGGCCCTAGCGAGCTTTGGCTTAGAGGGCTCCCTCACTCTAGCGCGTTCTCACTACACACAACATGGAACCAACTTTTGTCTTATGATGTTAGCATAAGCACACATATTGTATAAATAAGCATGTAAACACCATGGACCTAACCTCCTCTAGGGGGGTCCTCACCTCTTCTAGGTGATATTGAAGTTAAAGCATCAATCTGGTGCACTTTGAGAGCAAAATTAAGAGATCTATGGATACATCTCTCAACACCCATATGAAACAGAACTGTATTACAAATCACTCCCCTTTCAAACGGTATTCTTGTTTTACTGTCATATAGTATTTCATAACTGTTTTTCATGTATTCTCTCTGGCTGTCCATCTCATAATGTTCACATATAAACTAGCTGTCAATAGGAATATCATTCAGAAGAATTATAATTTCATGCAAAAATCGGTCACAAAAAGAGGTTGCACATTTAGATTCAGGTGTTGTTATGGCAACGTCAGTGGTCAAACAGCCACATTTACTGCTGCAAATACGTTCAAACCATATATAAATGGACGTAGGGTCCGTGACGTCACCCATAGGATTCTGCAGAGTTGCCGAGAAGCCCTAAGCAGGCGGAGTCGGCCACTAACGGCTCGACACTGACGTCAGAGTTCAACTCCCGGATTCGAGGCGGGACCTCCTGCCACCGAGCTGAAAGTTCCAGAGCTAGCTGAAGCTACCAAGATAAGCTAACATGCTCCCCATCTGCACACTGCCGTGGCATTTTACGTTTCTAAGGTAAGCGGACATGAAACTATTCAGCAAAACTATATAATAATCTAAGTTATTGAGTTTTTAGCATAATACTTCAGAATCTTAAAATCCCTTAACGTTTGTATGCAATTGTGCTATATTCAACACTGGAATCAAGCACATATTAATATGTTTGCATGACATTAGTTATTTATATTTTGATATAACTTAAATATACGTTTAATACGTTTAAGTCAAGCTAAGGTACATGTGATGGTAGCTAGTTAGTGCTCTTCAATCAATCAATCAATGTTTATTTATATAGCCCAATATCACAAATGTTACATTTGTCTCAGTGGACTTCACAGGTTGTACAGAATATCAGTATAACAATACGACACCCTCTGCCTTAGACCCTCACATCGTACAAGGAAAAACTTCCAGAGAAAACCCACAGTTTAAAGGGAAAAATGGGAGAAACCTCAGGGAGAGCAACAGAGGAGGGATCCCTCTCCCAGGACGGACAGACGTGCAATAGATGCCGTGTGTAAATTGAAAAGTTAATACATTTGCAACATAGGTAGTCCAAATGTTTGGAAATGCATGTGTGTATAATAGGAAGATGAATCCACGAGGATATCCATCCAGGACTTATGATCCAGGACCACAGCCACGAATCAAGATCTAGGACTCGCGATCCATGACACAGGACCGCAGGATCATCCATGACTCCGGACCCCGGACCCCGGCGTATATAGACACCAAAAAGAAAGAAATTTGGGGAAGCTGGGTTAATCGGAACATGAGAGTACACAGGTATAGACAGAGAGATAGATTTTTACATCCGTCAATTTTTGTGCATCCTCATTGTAGTCTAGCTTTTGATCACATGGTGTTTCCCTAGTTCTCCACTCCTGCATGTCAAAACGATTCAGGATCTTTCCCACATATCTCTTCTGGGATATTTTTACACAACTGGCAGACTGTTCGAGGCCCTGGCCTCTACCGAAGGCTTGTACAGATTAACTCTCACGGTGGAGCTATCGTCTTTGGTCATCGTGGGACCATTTGGTTTCCCAGTTCTGAAATCCCTTCACCTTACACTAACCACCTAACTAAACAGTACGTCGTACCTTTGTGATTTTTGACTCGTCCCACTTTTCCTATACGGGAGAGGGGTCTAGTTCTACTTCCTGGACGTCCATTTTGTAAAAAGATC